AAAAACCTCTAGGGATGGAGATTCCACCACCTCCATAGGTAACCCATTCCAGTGCTTCACCACCCTCCTAGGGAAATAGTTTGCCTAATATCCAACCTAGACCTCTCCCACTGTAACTTGAGACCACTGCTCCTTGTTCTGCCATCCGTCACTACTGTGAACAGCCTTTCTCCATCCTCTTTGGAACCTCCCTTCAGGAAGTTGAAGGCTGCTATCAAGTGCCCCCTCACTCTTCTCTTCTGCAGACTAAACAAACCCAAATCCCTCAGTCTCTCCTCAAATCCGCTCCAGCACCCTAATCATTTTGGTCGCCCTCTGCTGGACCCTCTCCAATGCGTCCACATCCTTTCTATAGTGGGGGGCCCACAACTGGACACAATACTCCAGATGTGGCCTCACCAAAGCCGAATAAAGGAGAATAATCAAGTCTCTGGATCTGTTGGCAATGCTCCTCCTAATGCACCCTAATGCACCTCCCTGCGCTACCTCTCCCCCTAGCTTAGTATCATATGCAAACTTGCTGAGGGTGCAATCCATCCCCTTGTCCAGGTCATTAATAAAGGTGTTGAACAAAACTGGTCCTAGAACAGATCCTTGGGGCACTCCACTAGAAACCAACCACCAACCTGACATCGAGCCGTTAATCACTACCCATTGGGCCCGACAGTCTAGCCAGCTTTCTATCCATCTTACAGTCCATGTATCCAATCCATATTCCTTTAACTTGCTGGCAAGAATATTGTGGGAGACCATATCAAAAGCTTTGCTAAAGTCAAGATATATCACATCTATTGAGTTTCCCATATCCACAGAGTCATAGAAGCTAATCAGATTGGTCAGGCACGACTTGCCCTTCGTGAATCCATGTTGACTATTCCTGATCACTTTCCCCTCCTCCTAGTGCTTCAGAATGGATTCCTTGAGGATCCCCTCCATGATTTTTCCAGGGACTGAAGTAAGACTGACAGGTCTGTAGTTCCCTGGATTGAAGGGGCCCCGGGCCTCACAGGAAGGGGTGAGGCCAGGATACTTCCCTGCTTCCCCACCTCCAGACCATGATTGGTCTGGGGGTGGGGGAGCGCATGAAGTCTTTGCCCCTTCCCCCACCAGAGGTTCCCTCTAAGCGCCCATGCCCCTGGTGGTGGGAGGAGACTTCACATTTTCCCTTCTGTCCCCAGGCCAATCAGGGCTTGGTGGCGAGAGAGTGCGTGAAGTCTCCTTCCGTCCTTCCAGGAGCATGGCAGAGTGGAGGAAACTTTGTGTGCTTCCCCCACCCCCAGGTCCTAATTGGCCTGGGGGCAGGGGAGTGGCAGGGCCTCTACGGGCTGAATTAACCTGGTTGGTGGGCCGGATCCAGCCCATGGAGGCCCTTTTGCCTACCCCTCCCTTACAGAGTGGCATTACACACTGCTCTAGCCTCCCCAGTCAGGGCTGGGGCCAGTCCCCATGCCTGTCAGTGCCTAGCCCATAGGAGGAGGCAATGCTGTGACAATCCAGATGATCTTGCTTCTTAGAACTATGTCTGAGTCAGTTCCTGTGTGAGTTTATCTAGTAAGGGCCAATTCTGGCAGGTCGCTGCCTCCCACCACCCCCTTTTATGTGGTGAAGCCACAAGTTCATCCAGCAAACCAGAAAGAGGAAGGAGGCCTGTCCCCATGGGAGAGGCAGCCCCATCCTCCCAGCAGAGCCAGTCTTAGGGGTGGACAAGCCGGGCAGTCACCTGGGGCTGCCATTTTCAAGGGGTATTTGCAAATGACCGTATTTGAGCCCGACCTCCCCCAACCATTCCCTTCCCCCCCCCCTTTTTTTTTTGACAAATTTTGGTCCGGTATTTTTTTTTAAACCATCTGGCAGTCGCCTGGGCTGCCAATTGGTTAGGACCGGCCCTGCTCTGGGAATGTTTGCCTACAGTCTCTTCTGCCCTGGGTCAACTACTCCCTCAGCAGAGAGCTCGGGGAGGAGCAAGTATTTTTCCCTAGTATACAGACACCCTCCCTCAAAAAAGGATTTGGCAGGACACGGTCAATAACAGAGGAATTATATGACCCCTAAATAGTGTTGGGGGTGGAAGAGTCACCACCACATGACCACCTAACACTGCTGGAGTGTTGGTGGCTTTACATCATTGCAACACAGCATCCTCAACTATTATAATGTCATGGGATACTCATCAGATACCATCAGGAGCCTCTCTCTGGCCACCAAGGGGCAGATTCACTCTTCTTTCCATTCCCATCTCCCATCTGGCTGCTGGATAGAAGGAGTTCCAGCAAAGCACCTCTTCACCCCAACCTCATTCTTGCTTGGTCAACGCAGCTAAGCTCTCCCCATTGCCTCCTGTGTAAGGTAGCCCCTGGACTTCGGTTAGAAGCACCAAGCCAGCCAATGGTTTGTGCCAGAGTAATGCAGGGCCCAGAAGGGCACCCAAAAATGTCAATCAGCACAGCTGAAGGGCTTCTCATTTCCCTTTTTTATCATCCTTTGTTCATGTTCTCCTATTCAAACCAATTTAATAGGAGAAATTCAAACCAATTTCATGTATCAGCCAAGATGTCGTGAACACTATTATTAGATACTTTGAAAAACACAGATCTATCATCCCTGTCATAGACACAACCAAGTTTCCCTACCAAGATCTCTGTGGCCCCTCGATGCTGTTTAATTAATGCTCACTGTTTCCTTAATGTCCAAGTGTCTCATCATCTTTTGCTTTGTCTTCTTCCTCCACCCTTTCCCTCAGGACATGCTATGCATGTGCATGCAGAAGTTTGATGGGTTTAACAAAGTATGATGTGGCACTGGTTTAATAGAATGGGCACAACTTCTGTGCATAGACAAACCCAGTGACAGGTTGCAGTTTGCCTGGCTCCCTCCGCTGTCCTTCCTACCGGATCTCCCAACAGCTAACTGCTATGCTCTGTCAGCAGCCTCTCTAGGAGACATTATTCAGACTAGCTGGTTTGGACGTAGTGCCACTGTCCAAGTGTTCCTTTCTCTGCTTTTTATCCATGTATACAGGTTCTTCTGCCTCTCACCACGTAGCACACAGACCAGTCATAAGATCAGCACCAGCTGCTCGGGTGGGTGGCAGTGGTTATTGTGGCTCCATTTCACTTTCTCCATGACTTACCCTTGTCCCCCCCACCCCCACCCCCAAAAAAACACCCTTATGTGGAGTCTATGTAGGAAAGTGAAGCCTTCCTCCAGAGTTGGGAAAACCCTCTCAGAATGGAGTATGACACGGAAGTGGACTGGGTATTTTTAGCACTTACCCTTTGTTTGTTCTCGGGCTCAGTTTGGAAAGAGGAACTGATCTCAGCTGAAGTATGGCGTTTGCTTTAAAAGGAAGCCCTTGTTTGTGGGACAGTCATTGCAAGACTCATCGGTAAAGGGGGGACCCACAAAGTTACCTTTTTAGGAGGCAGCATGTTCCAGGGGACTGAGCCTGGGAACAGCTCTGCAGCTAAACTGAGTCAGTAGTTTCTGAATTCTGACCCAGATGCTGACACTGGCTTGTTTTAGGAGTTTTCCCCCATCAGTGAGTCAGGAAAGGTAACAGCAATCGTCAGGATATGCCATTAAACAAGCAATATTTGCCAATTGCTACTGTACAGTAACCAGTGACTGCAGTTACTTCCAAGTCTATGAAAAATGACCCTGTCTAGCAATGTGCCATGTCTGCCAGCAGATACTGCCTCAATGACAACCGCTGGGTTTCCCGCCCTGGCAGACGCGAATGTGGATTAGCTGCTTTTAGTGAAGTGCTATGTAGGTTCCCAGCTGTACGGGTATTCTGTCTCTCCTAACACATGGCAGCTCAGAGACCAGGTTCTACACTCTGTTCCATCTTCTGCCCCGCTCTCAGTCACCACTTGGGAGCACTTTCCAGCTGGACCATGAGCTCAGCTTGTGAAAATAACTTTAAAGAGTCCTCCCAGTCCATGAAGGCTCCTAATCATAACACTCAGCTCCATCCAGTGTCCGTCTGTGCCATATTGTGCATGTATCCCCAAGCTAACACACTAATTTATTCCAGGAGAGGATGCCATTCTGTGGTTGGGACAATTCGCCCCCTGAGCAATGCCCTGTAAATAACAAACCACCATGCCTCCATTTTGGTTACTGATGACTTTTGCTACTGGCTATTCCTGGCCTCTACTAAACTCCATTATCCAGCTCTTCCTGCAATGTATATAGTCTTCTCATTGCTACTTCTGCTTCTTACCAGCCTTCTTTTCTGCATCCACCAATCGCAGCGGGCCAGGATGTGTCCAACAGGTATCAATTCAGGGCAACGGGGTACAAAATGCCATTCTGGGATCTCTCTTACTGACTCTTCCCAAGCACTAGCTAGCTAAGGCAGTTTGTACCCAGGCACAGGCAGAAGATGACTCCAAGAACATATTGTCTTCTGGGAGGAAACTGGTATGAGCGCCTTGTGCCCACTGGAAGGGACTCTGGGATTAGTGCCATGTTGGGAACAGCATCACCTGCATTGAGAAAGGGATATAAACATGTCTTAGCTGTAATGAGTCCTGTTTAATATATACAGACCATGTGGAAATTCTCAAATACAGAGCACAAGACAATTCTCTGGGTACCACATTCTAATTTCTGTGTCTCCTGGAATGGGCTTAGAACAGGACCTCTGCCTCCAGTTTTAATGCACCAACTACAAAAATACCATAAATAGCAATTTGCCAATGCCAGCACTGAATGCAGGAGTGCAGTGAAAGCGGGAAGGCCTAACTGATGGCAGACCCATCAGTGGGGGAAAGGGGAGCAAAGAGCAATTACCAAGGGGATCAGACAATTTAAGAGCCTGGGGCCCTCTAGCTGCCACCCCCAGCAGTGCAGTGAGGCTATGACAGGCTTTCTGTTTGCCCTATACCAAATCGCTCCCAGAAGCAGCTGGTACCATGTTCCTGTGGCCCCAGAACATGGGAGTCTCTGTATAATGCCTCCACCCTGAGCACTAACTCAGCATCTTCCATTGGCAGGGAACTGCAGACAATAGAAGCTGCAGGAGCGGTGCCTGTGGTAAGTGGCCCACGGTGATCCTCTGGCTTCCCCACATAGGGATGTGCCTGTCACTTTCAGGAGCACCTAAGGTAAGTGCCTTCCTCTTCACCCAATGTTCCCTGTAATCTTTTCCATCCATGTGCAGAATAATTATTTTACGTGCACTAAGGCATGTGTGAATGTGCACCACCAGTAGAAACTCTGAACACTCTGCTAATCAGCAATCCAGCCCAGAGCCCACACCCCACACTCAAACATCCCCTCCTACGCCCTAATCCCTTGCCCTAAACTAGACACTCCTCTTACCCCCTCTCATATTTAAACTCCCTCCAAGAGTCAGCACTGCCCAAATGTCAAGCGAACCACAGCCACGTGGGTTGACTTGTATGTACATGGGGGACCTGCTGACTGTTCTGCTCTGAGCCCCAGAATTGATGTCATGAGCCTGGTTGATGGGTACCAAGTGGACTCCCATTTTGCCTTGATTGCTATTCCATAGACCACAGTACAGAACAACTGGGAAACCTGGGTATGTGACTCTGTCCCCCACTAGATAGTACCGTCATCTTGTGTTTTCATAGGGCTTCTGTACAGAGGGTTCTCAGGAGCTAGCGGATTCATAATTCAAGATCTGAGCCAGTACACTGGTGTTTGTCTGGGGTTCTGGAGGTAGGCCAAGTCAGGCCTGGAATTTGGCTGTACATTCAACAACACCAAATGTTGGTGAGCTGTTGTCATAGATTTTCAACCCTACCTTGAGCCAAATCTGCACAAACCCACCTGTTTTAGCCTCTCCATGCCAGATCTGAGACACCTGGGACCTCCCCTGGGCATTTTTGCCTGTGGAGAGGAAGACTTAGCTCTGAGGAGCTGACTCCTGAACAAAATGATGCGTAGTTACACTTGCCATGGACACAGGGCCTGCTGAGGGTTAGGAGCCTATCTGTTCTTGTGACAACATGGCCTGGAACTGGTACTCCTCAGGTCACGAGTTCATCTTTACAGCCTCATTGAAAGGGAGATGTGGAGAGTTTTATAGTGGCCATAAAGGTGGAGTGAATGGGAGAATAGAAAAGGAGGGGAGCTGAGGGGTGAGGGAGGGACTGCTCTCACCACACTGATCCTGCCCCCATCAGCTGGGGAAGCAGGGCAGTGGAAGACCTTTCAGTGTGGGGTGGGGAGAAAGTTCTCAGCCTGAGCAGGAAGCAGAGGGCCTGCCCTGGAGAACAGAAGAAGGTGTCTCATGGGTAAAAGGAAGTCAATTATATTAAATACTGGCAAATTTCATGCTGGTGAAAAGGGACAAATCAGCTATAGAGGCTCGCCACACAGTGGGTCCAGCCCAGGCAGCTGCAGGGCAACCTGTGCCCACCTCACCAACATGCCTTAGGCTGCCCTGATCTTAGGGTTGCCAGTCCTCCAGGACTGGCCTGGAGTTTGCTGGAACTGGGATTGATCTCCCAGCCACTACTGAAATCAGTCCAGGAGATTTTCATTGGGTAGTTTAAGAAAATGGCATTGCGTCATGATGGAGAGAAAAAAATCTCCCCAAATAACTTCAGTCACAGTTGGCAACTCTACCTGAGGACTGTCTGCTGAGACGTGAAGAGGCCACTTAGAGTGCATCTACACAGCAGCATTATTTCAGAATAACAGCCGTTATTCCGAAATAACAATGTGAGCTTCTACATGGAAATTCCATTATTTTGAAATAACAGATGGCTCATTCTGACTTCTGTAAGCCTCATTCCACGAGGAATAACACCTATTCCAAAATAGCTATTTTGAAATAGCTGTAGTGTGGACGCTTCACTGCTACTATTTCGAAGTAGCTCCTCCCCAGGGTCATTCAGTGTAATTATTCCCCAATGCCTCCTGGGGCTCTAAAGTGAAGTAGCACATCCACATTAGGAGAGCCTGACTCAGACTAATTTTGAGGCTTTCCTGTAGTGTAGAAGCGCTATTTCGAAATAAGCTATTTCTGAGTATTCCTTCCAGAATAGCTTATTCTGAAATAAGCGTGCAGTGTAGAGGTATCCTTAGTGAAAGTTGTGGAGGGGTTTATCAGAGAGAACACCTGCCCACTAGAAAGTAGAGAAGCACCAACACCTTATCAGAGAGAACACCTGCCCACTAGAAAGTAGACAGAGAAGCACCAACACCTCCCACATTAGCAAGGTCAGTGCTAAGGAGCAGGAGGAGTTTGTACAGCTTGGCTCCCCTGTTAGGCTGAGAGTGTATAGGAGGGTCCTAAAGTTGTCTGCCAGAGCCCCGCATTTGGCGTTCGTTGGGGCCTGATGCTGCAGGCTGAGGGAAGGAGTTACGTCTCTCTGAGGCCCTGTGATGTTTGCATGTAGCCCTAGTTAGTCAAACTCATTTCTGATCATAAAGCTCCACTGGAGTTTCTCGGAGAACCACATAAACCAAAGCGCTTTGGTCACAGTACAGGGCAGGCGAGAGTGAGTCACCTGTCACTCATCCTAAGTGCTACTTTCCTGGAGGCTTGCAGGGGTTCCCCTTCCTGTCTCCTCCTGCTCTCTCCATCTGAACCCAGGGAATTCTTCTCACACCCACTTCTCAAGTGTTGCAACCTCACACTTTGCTAGGAACACAAAGGGCTCAGAGGTATGTAGATGAAGCAGTAACTTCCCATTGCCTAGGAATTGCATCACAGGGCCTGCTGGGAAACTGCTGCTATATTGTTCTCCAAGTGGTAGTTGCTGTTAGGAGTCAAATTTCCTTAATCCCTGTACCTATGTAGTTAATGAACCCCAGAGCTAGGCTTCTCTCAACAACCAGGATTTGGGGTAGAGGGACTTCATGAGAAGTTCACGCTCAGCACAGATGTGGTATTTTGCTGAGCCTGCCTTTGCATACAGACTTGGGGCAGGAGGCAGGCTGTGGGATGCTGGGACATAGGCACTGTGCTGGTGGCAGTACCTTTCTTTGGGGTTGAATGGCTCTGTTAGCCCAGTGAACTCACCCAGTGAGGTTAGGGTCTCTGCCAGATTTCCTAAAATCTCCCACCATTCCTCTTGCTAGTGCAGATCCCCTTACTGCCAGTGCCAGTGTCATGAAGATCAGCTAAGAGCTGGGCCTGGATTAGGTGGCACAGTAGTTAAAATACTAGCACATTCCTTTACAAGGACTCCCATCATCACTCACAAAGGTGGAGCTGCACCCCTGGGAGATTTTAGAGAAACAGAGACAGTGTAGATGCTGTCCCATTAAATGCATTTTTCTGGGCACAAGGTAGCTTTGGGTACATGAGCACAGAGCACAATGACTTTGAAATTGGCAGGGCTGAGACCCATCTTGGAGGCTGCCTGGACAACTCTGCCCCTTTGGATGGTGTTCAGCGGGGCACCAGGCATTGCCAGAAGTCTGGAAAAACATGGAATGCTCCATAGCTATGTGATTTTGAAAACTTGACTTGCTGCATGGGCTAGGCACCTATGTTGATATGTAAAACAACATAGGAGGCATACCAGGGCAGTGGCTTCACTCACAGATCACTCCATGGCTCACTCAAGCTTAGCAAAACATGCATCTTTGAGCGCTAAAGACATAATACGTATGAAGTGGTATGTCCTCTGTGTTTTTGAGTTATACCATCATGGAAAAGCACCAGGATAATTTTTCACAGCTGAAAAGCCAATTTCTCATGTTCAGAAAACTCCAAATATATTGCACAGAGTTTCTTCAAATTTCCCCCTCCACACACACACACACACACTCTCTCACACACACACACACACACACACACACCCCTCTGGACCTAGATCAAGCACAAGGCACTTAAGCTCAAAGGGGAACTTTTGAGGAAATGTATTTCAAAACACTGAAAAGGGGGGTTCAGAATGAAAATAATACATGAGCTGTAATTAAAGAGAAGTGTGTACTGTACATCTGAATTGTGTTCAAGGTAAAAACACATATGCCTCAGCTTGTGGAGTGTGAGAAAAGATATTTACAGACACCTAGAGGCATATCAAGTAGCAACAGGGTGGAACTGAGCAGAGAAAAATGGAGGTTCATTATCAGGAACCATTTTGACCAATTTGACTTGGGTTTATCACCCAAGGGAATTGATGGACATTCCATTACTTGAATAATGTAATATTATACAGGACAAAGCACTGGAGATTATACTGTATGGACAAATCCTGCAACAGCCTCCAGGAGAACAGGCTAGCTAGATGGGGTTTTCCAGTTCTAACTTCTGGGATCCTATCTTGTGATATGTACTATCCAATGTCATGTAATTATGGGACCAGTTTTCATCTCGTAGCTCTCAGAAGAGGTTGAAGTTCATGTCTGGTGTAAATACACTGAATTCAAAGTGATAGAAACAAATGATCCAAGGTGGAGAAAAAGATTTTGCATACAATGACAATATTGAAGTCCTCAGATAACACAGGCAATGCCTAAGTGCTGCCAAACATGCAAATCATTAAACAGTTGTGTCCTGAGAAGGCTTTGAAAAGTACCTCAACTGTGTGGAGCATGCTGAAACTATTACAAACAACTATAAAGATAATTGTTTCCTACGCCCACAGTGCATGTGTTACTCTTTATGATGATGAGCCTACCACCCGCCCCACCCCCAACAGGAATTATACCACTGCTGCCTCAGGGCTCTGGATCTGTGGGAGCTGAGTCCTTCTGGCCAATCTCCTGGAATATACAAGCTAGACTCTACTGAGAAGTCCTTGCTGTGCAGCACCTAAGGAGGAATTTTTTCTTCTGCAGTCCCCTTATGCTGCCTCATACTTTCCCCATGACAAGCCGATCTCCTCCATGCACCCCTCCACATGTTTCATCTGCAACCAGGAAGTGAATTTCATCACAGATGAGACCATGCATCCGTCATGGTCTTGGAAGAGGCAAGCAGAGTTGCCACCCTTCTGAGAGACACATACAAAATAAATGTAGAAAAGACTGAGGTGTCTGGAATATGTCCAGAGCAATAGGGAACCCAGGGGTTATAGTTTTACCAGGCTCTCTGAACTCTACTTGGATCTGTCTGGATCAGGAAATGTGCAGAGGTGCAGTAGAACACAGATTTCCCTCACCTTCCAGGGCCTCC